AAAAGACAGACTAGCATGCTTAACACTAGGAAACATACTGAAACATTTTGCAGACATAGGAGGGGTTCCCTGAAGATGCTGTGCCAGTGACGGTGCCCATTTCCTCCATAGGAGAGGCAACGCATTCAGTCAACAACGTCTGGAAGAGATAACCAGGAATAAATCTTCATCTGGGAGCGTGCACACAAGCATTTACATCATCATCTGCTAAAGATACCCATCTTCATTGTCCCTTACCTTTAATGTGTTGGTGGCTGCAGAAACCACCTGAGTGTGAGGTGACAACAAGCAGGACATCGCAGCAGAAAAGAGGCGAGGGAGGTGACCCAAACTCAGAGAACTCTGCAAACTAGACGACAAGGATGTTGTGGACCAACAGTCGGACTGGAAAACGCACAGTTATGGGAATCTGTTGTACTGTTTTCATTTATTACCTCGCCAGGTGAATGTGCGCTTTCTCCATGACAGCAAGCCAAGCGAGCAGAGGCTGTAAATCATTCTCACTGGGCAGGTAATCGTACAGAGCCTGGAGATAAGAGATGACAATTGAGTTTTCACACCAAGCTTTGTATTATAACTAAAAATCGAACTTTAAAAATCTTGTTTGGTTTATGTTCACTCACAGTGATGATCTGTGCGTTGAGTTCTGGTGAGAGCGTCAAAGCATTGGGCTTCCCGCTGAACAGCTGATGAAAGGCCTGCATGGCACTAGCGGTCACCAACTACAGTCAGAGACATCGACAACTATATTTGAGTATCCACGATGATGAATAAGGGGGATTTGGCAGCACCTATGAATATTTTTGTGTTCTCACCACATGACTGAGTGTCATCACTCGCAGCAGAGTCTCACAACAGGACTTGACAGCTCCCAGAGGAAACGTCCCCATCAGCTCCTTCAAAAGGCCAAGCACATGGAGTGCGGTTGTGTCCTCTTTACTGCCTATGGGGAAAAACACAAACATTACCCACAACCTGCTGGACAGCCATAGAGTCGCACAAACCTTCATCATATAGAGAACAACCCGCGGTCCTAATAAACCTGTTGTCTCACCTCCTGCTTGCTCCATTTCCTTTATGCAGAATTTGGCTGTGGTAACTGCAGCAGGATGATGGGCTGGAGCATTTTCTGTAAACAGGAAGTCACTGCCTCTAAGAATGGAGCAAACACCTTGCTGTGCTGCTTTACGGACCTGAAAGGAAAAAAATTCAATGGCACAAATGTCCTCACATTTAGTATTTCACTGAATGTTTAATACAGCTGATGAGCAGTAAATCCAAGACAGACTGAACGCATCTGTTCAGTGTGGCTGAGCAGTTACGAGCAGGTTGGTGGGACTCGCCTTAGGCTTGTTGTGCACTGTGAAGCTGAGAAGGCCATGGTAAGCCTGGAGAGTAGATGGGTAAGTCCACACAGATGCGTCCTGCTTCCTCAATAGAGTGGCCAGACATGACAGTATCTGCAGAGGAGAAAAATAACAAAGCTAAGCATTGCTGCAGTTGTCAAAAGAAGAGCCAAACAGACACAGAAACAAGCCCACTTACCCATCTGAGTGCCGAGGTAGTGTCAGATGTGGCCTGTTTGGACATGACATCCATCAGAGCCTTGGTGGTGTCGGAAAACTTCGACTTGAGGACCGGAGCAGGAACACTAAGGAATGCAACACGTCAAGCAGATGGAAAAATGCAACACACCAGTTGTATTTATTGTGGACATTATAAGCCACGCTTATATATCTTAACACTTTAAGGATTTTCTCTACTTTCTGTCGATGGGGGGTGGAGAATATCATCAGTTAACCTAACACGCATGTCTCTGAACTGTGAGAAGAAGCCTAAGTAAACCCACGGTTGAGAGACCGTGCAAACTCAGAGAGAGAGAAAAAAAAAAGTCCCAAGCCAGGGTTCAAACCAGGAAACTTCTTATTGTGAGGAAACAGTGCTGCTTAGTGGAGTAACATTTAAGTATTTGGGTCCTACCGTTTCATGACAAGGTTGAGGAGGTATGCCACTGCAGCCTGGGATTCTGCTGTATCCACAACCTCCAGGGTGGTCATCTTAGAGGAAAATAAGATTTAGTGGATTTTGAAAAACAAAACCTTGATTTACGCCTCCTTTCAATCAAACCACACCATAAAATCTAAAAGAATCTTTTTTAAAAAAGCACTCACCAAAGCAGCAAAGTACTCTGTTTCAGTCTCCTTCCCACCTTGACTGCGGATCACTTCAGTAACGGCTGCCAACACTGCACAGATCTGTAGAAGACAAAGTTAGAGCTGCAGGGAAGCTCACTGTCCAGCTTTGCTCACAATATAAACAGCACCCAAACTAAAATGTTATCAATAAATGGCCCATCATAAAAGTGATGCCCACCTCTTTGTGTGCAGCTGAATTAGACTCCCAGAAGCGCTGCACCTTTCTAAAGGTAAGGTTGGAGCAGTCTGATAGGCCACTGAGGAAGGTACCCGAACTTCTTTGTGATACAGCCTCTTCTGGCTCTTCTTCCATGGCGGCATCTTTACGAGTGCCGATCTCCAGCGGACCGGCCTGCAGCTCATTGTGAAGCTTGAGAGCATCGATTGTGAGATCACTCTTTCCTGTGGGGTTAAAACAAAAAACAAAAACTGAATTCTAAAACCTTATTACACCAAATTCTGACCCCAAATTAGACATGGAGACAGATGTGCAAGCAAGCGCGACCTTTAGTTTTTCCCTTTGAATGACGAATTACCTAACCTCACCTGCACAAGCATGTGGTTGACTTGGGAAAAAAAAACAAAAAAATCAATTAACCTTCCCAAAGAGGAGGAGACCAAGCTGCTTTTTATTTAGGCATGCTAACTGTGAACCACTACCAAGTCAACCAGTCACTCATAGATGCATGCCACCAAACCTATCATCTAATTTTCCATGCATGCATGCTTTTTCAGACATTTCCAAAACAGTAAAGACAATCCCAAAGTATTGGAGCCTTTGCACACCTTAGTCCGATGCAACCAGTTTTCCTATTTTGTTTCTACAATATGTTCAGACTCAATAATAAAACAGCTGATGCTGAAAATATGTACAGGCCAACCTTTTAGTCTTAGGGAAAAAACTGAGCAGGAATCAATAAAGTGAATTGACAGTCTGAGCTTAGATCACCACTGACGACAACAATATCTTACCAATAACCATCCTAACTATTGCTACACTATTCTTTAGTTACTTTGGACTCTCATAATTAAGCAGACCAGATAAGTAAAGGGGAGTCACTTGTGCACGTTTCACCCAGTGTGCAGATGTAAATACTCAAATCACAGCTGGATGTTCAAACCTAAACATGCTGTTGCTCATACAATCAGCTGGCTACAGAGCCAAAACAACCACCTTTGCGTCTAATAACTGACAAACTTTGCACATTTATTGTAAAGCACATCTTTTCTAGGCTTAATAGGTGCAGGGCAGATACTTTTACACAACTAAAGATGATAGCTTGGACTTTGAGCTCCAAACACACAAGCAGCTGTTGCTCTTAAACTAAACTGACATACAAATTATTTAACCTGACAAAAAGATATAGATGTGGCGATATGACGTTAAAGTTTCTGCCAGCAGCTTGAACGTGGCTGCTGATTGTGTCAAAACCTAGAAAGATTAAATGGCTAACGCTAGCCGGAGACCCACGTGTAGAGGGAACGCTTACCGGTGGGTCGGCTGAAGAAGCGGCTTTTAGCAGCCTGACGGAAGCGACTCGTCTGCGGGTTAGAGTCGCTGCTGTGTCCTTTTTTCCACCGTTTGAGCTTCGACGCCGTCCCAGAGCGAAGTTTCCCCGATTTCACCATTTTCGGGACTGAAAATAATCACGTTACACCACCAACTGTGCCCGATTCTGTCGCCTACCAAACTACGTCACAGCTTTGCTCACGTGTCACAAGTTATGTTTCCTGAAGATGGCGCTGTCCACCACAGACAGCGTGAATAACACGAGCATACGGTCCATGACTGCAACTACCCTGACTGCCATCGTCTAAAGAGAGATATGACCTCTTCTGCAGATAAAGGAAACCCGTGACCTTAATTTAAGTATAGCTTTGTCAGGTGTGGCATATAAAACCATATAAAAAGAACGATGATACAAAAATACAGCCAGTCATTACACCCATCTGCCATTTTAGGTACACATTTTCAACTGCTTTATCACAAACATCTTATCAGCCAATCACATGGCAGCAACTCAGTGTATTTAGGCATGTAGACATGGTCATGATGACCTGCTGAAGTTTAAACCAAGCATCAGAAAGGGGATGAAAGGAGATTTAAGTGACTTTGAAGGTGGTGTGGTTCTTGGTGTCAGATAGGCTGGAATGAGTATTTCAGAAGCTGCTGATCTCCTGGGATTTTCCTCACACAAACATCTCTCTTACAGATGATGGCCTGAAAAAAAGAAAATCTAGTGAGCAACAATGTCTTGCTGATGCCAGAGATCAAGGGAGAATGGAGGACATGAAGGTAACAACTCAGATAATGTATGCAGAAGAGCATCTCTGAAGGCACAACATAGAGATGGGCTACAACAGCAGAAGATCAGCTGGTGACAATCCTGCGATGCAAGAACAGTCACACGGGCTTACCAAAGTTGCACGATCAACGATTATAGAAATGCTGCATGGTTTGATGAGTCTCGGTTGCTACTGTGTTATTCAAGTGGTAGGGCCAGAATTTAGCGTAAACAACACAAAAGCATGGATCCATCCTGCCTTGTATCAATGATTCAGGCTGCTGCTGGTCGTGTAATGATGTGGGGGATATTTTCTTGGCACACTTTGGGCCCCTTAGTACCAACTGAGCATCATTTAAATGTCAGCGCCTACCTCAGTATTGTTGTTAACCATATTATGACCACAGTGACAGTGAGTTAACTGAGAGATTTTCATCAACTAAAGGGGGTCCAACCCTTATTGGGAACATCCAGTTCCAATTGCAGATCTTGGTGCCAATAAATAAATGAAAAGAACAACTTTAAATTTATAATATTTATTAAGTTATTCAAGTACAGTGAGCATCATATTTGTACATCAAACTACACCTTCTTGTTCATAGTGATAAAATTAAAAAAGCAAGTCTGGTCATCTCTTATTCCCTTTAAAAAGGTGCCTTCATTACATTCCCTGTCTTTACCATGAATGTACAGTAGTGAAATGAAAACAGTGTGCACATGAGCAAACAACATACAGTGAACGTTTCTACTACCTAAACACATGATAGTAAAAGAGAGTTAGAAAGAAAGATTTTTGTCTAGATTCTGAGGTGAACCATATTTAATTTATTCATAAGCACCAGAACAAACAAACATGACAAGAAGGGAAACCCATGTAAACACCAAAGCTGTGAGTTCATGGCTTCACAAATAGACGGACACTGGGATGTGCATCTTAGGGCTCTACTTTTCACCTAAAGTGTTTCAGTGCTTTTTTCCCCATTTGGAAAAAGGAAAAATAGAAAAAGGAGCAATACAAAAAGCAATATATTTTTTATATAAAAATGTACACAAAATTCCACCGCAGAATTAACTGGACAGTAATGTCACCAACTCCTGTTCCAGCAGCCCACCTCTGGCACATTCATGATCTTTTCTTCACCTTGCTTCATTTGCCTCAGTTAGTTATGACTGAGGGATTTATATTGACAATCACTTGGACGACAAATTCCTTTTGGATTTTAGTATCTTGCAGGCGAGTCTTGTCGGTCAGAAGCTTCCCGGAAAAGAACCACCTCTGGCGGGACACATCAATTTCTTCCTGTTCTTCTAGTAACTTCTTTAGCTCAGCGATGGTGTCTGCCATGCTGGCTGTGAGACGCACATCCTTTCCTAAGGGAGAAGTAGAGTTGACACAGATCTTTTTATCCAGGTAAAAAAAATCTCATTTCCAACAATCCATGCATAACGTGATTTTTAGAGATGTGCAGATGCATAATTCCAAGTCTTACCAGTTGATAATCGCACCCGTAGCTGGAACTCTTCTCTGCTCGGAGAGGGCTGAGATTGTTTTTGCGTCGATTCGGAAACCTTGCTGTCGCTGGATGTTTCAGTGATGAGGTTGACAGGCGGGGCTAAAGTGTACGCTGGGAGCTGATAGCGGTTGCCCAGCTCATCGTAACACTCTGTGAGAGAGCCTGCAGAAGAGAAATAACCCAGATAAACAACCAGTTAAAAAAACCAAAAAAAAAAACCCTTATCCCTCTCCACAACATACACAACTTTAACCTTGAGCTACACATGTCCCCTCATTTCAACTGTTAAGAAATCCTGTCTGAGCATCACTTTTCTTCCATTAGTAGCAGTTAAAAGCAGATGAACATGTGAGAAGACTATGTGAGGACTGCTTTTTTTTCCAGCTAACGCCACAAGGGCTTTCAGTGCATCAGACCACTCACAGTGGTCATGCAGTACTGCGACTATTATGTAACTACTACAACAGTAATCTCTGCACAGTTGATGGGATTCAGCAAACTGTTCTTTGACTTTTAAAAATGATTACAGTGAGCTCTGCATTTGCACTGGGAGGTCCAGTCCACTTACAGCGTATAATTTATAGCCAAATTATGCTTTCATATCTCAAAGGGGATTTTGTGTATGTGTGTTTGCATACCATGTGGTAATGTAATGCAGGCACCATCCACGATAGCCTGCGCTAGCTCCAGGTCATTGCACTCTGCAGCCAGAGCTGCTGCTCTGAGTGCGTCCCAGATTTCCTTGCGTCCATCAAAGGCCGGAGCTGTATCCCAAAATTCATCCCTCTTGCTCCTGAGCTGGCCCTCAGTCATCGGGTACTCACTCTTCCATTTTGGACGCTCTTTCTTTAGAGGCTCATTGCGTCCTTAACAAAAAGAGAGGGAGGGGTAAAAAAAAAAAAAAAAGAGAGAGAGGTGTTTAATCTAATTTTACAGACTGCTCTAAGAAATGACCAAGAGACTGTGACCCAGAAATAATCCGGGCTACGCTTTTGAAAACAACTTCTAGTTTATAAAAAGTAAAACAACAAACAAAAAAAACTTTGTTGCTAATTTATTCTAATTACATAATAAAGAGATTACATGGTGCGAATCCAGGTATCTGGTAGTAAACTACTTATTACGTCGATGTCTACTAAAGTGGATAAGGTCATCACTGCTCCAAAAAACGCCTGAGCTCTGTACTATTACATCAGACAGCCAAGGTCAGGAAATATTTTTGTTTTACTCTGATGTGAAGTGTCCTTAAAAGAATGTAGGTATAAATGCACTGAATGCATTAAATGTTCTTGGTTTGAGTCATGTAAACACAAAAAGGGACAAAAAGCTCATCTTAATACCTTGTACACACACACACACCACAACCACTATCTGTGATATTTAGCAGTTTCTGCATAGACTGACTAGCCAGTAACCAAAATGCGCTTTTTTTTTGTCTTTTTCTTTCGTTTTCTTTAAATCAGAGCTCCAGCAGCAGTATTTTGTACACCTACTGCAGGTGTTTCTTTGCTAGCTATTGGTGTATAGCTGCAGTACTGGTGTACCAAAAAGTCAAATTGCTTCACAGAGAGAGGAAAATCAAAGTGATTATTTATAGTGCTGTGGATTACTGCAGTGGCCAGTAATACACACATGCGCACGGACAGGCGCTCACTCACAAGCAAACACCAGTGGATTATAGGCAGTAAGCAGGTCCCACATAACAGGATTTATCTGTGCCTATCCCTTAAGGCATTGGATAGAAAGATGACAACCCTTTAGCCAATGAAAGGCAGCCAACAGACACAGATCTGCCACTGCACGCACGCAGAAATACAAACACAAAGCCACTACAACTCAATTACACTGTCACCTTATCGAATTACGGAGTGTTTACAAACTGCTGCAAAGCGTGGTTTTGTCCCTTTCAAATCTGATTTTTCAACAAGATCAAAGGAAGCCTTTATAAAATCTTAAATAACATTTAGCAATGATACACATCCCAATAGACATAGATATTAAAGACATCTTCTGTAGCACTGATCTAGAAACCAGCTGAAATATTATAACACTGACGACACAGTACAAAAGGCCTCAAAACATTGTTACTAAATTCCAATGTAAAATTATGCTTTTGAGTTATATGACAAATTTGCTAATTTCAGTTGGTGAATTCCCCCAAAATTTGTCTGGTTGAATTAAATTTGTACATAGACACCTTAATCCTAAAGACAGATAACAAAATGAGCACATATGGTTATATTAAATGTATTCTTTTGAACTGCTTATTAAGTTATTCTGCCATTTATTACTGTTTTTTACTCATTAAAATTTTTTACATTTAAGTTGTTTACTTTATTCTGTCTCATGTGATTTATATTCCTCACACATTACCCTTAGGATTGAATTAAACAGACATGTCCAGCCTGAGCACATCAGCTGAATGTTAAAGCTTTGCAAGTTCATTTATATCAAACTTTCAGCCTGAGCTTTCACGCAGAAGTACGACATTTATATTATTTATAATTTACACTTTATGCATTAAAAATGACGTGCAAACTGGAACTGTCCCACACTTCTAAACCCATGAGCAGAATACCCCTAAAATCTAGAGACGGCTATATAAAATGATGCCACCCTGTTCCAGTGTTTGCAGCTTTATTATATTCTTTGCTTTTACTTCTCTTACAAAAACATTTATTTTTAGCCCGTGTAATGTTGATTATGCAGCCAGGCACACATGCAAAACTAAATTAACATGCCAGCCAAACAAATGCAAATTAGATTGTTTGTCTGGAATCCTAACAAGTGACCCTGCCAGCAGACATGGGAAAATACACAGTGACAGTTTTGGGATTGTGCAAGTCTAAGACTTTCAGAATGAGAGTGCAGAACAAAACATGCCAGATTTTATTTCCTGGTTGTACATTTTGTTACATAACAGTATGTACAAGCATTTTTGCTTTGGTTGTGTTTACTAGATTGAAGCAGATGCAATCAGTGATGACGACCTACAAAATATAAAAATGCTTCATCCACCTCGCTGCTGTACTCAGTTTGTCAGTGTTAGTGTTTGCGTAGAGGGAGATCAGATTTGACAGCATGTCCTTTAGCTGTAAGACTAGCTCCCTGGAAAGATTAGCACTTTAAACTGAAGCGAGTGAGCAAGTTTGACTTTCCTGAGCTAAAAATGTGCAGGTGGAAGTAAAAAAAAAAAAAGAAAAAGAAAAAAAAGAATGGTACAAGTAAATCTCTGCAATAACAGGAATGAGATTAAAACGTCTAATGTAGACCTGCTGCTTATGCAGTATGATTTTATATATCATTTTAAACAACCACTATAAGCAGGATCTGTGAGCAGTGTTGTATCTACCTACTGTAAAATGTGCATGTAATACTAAGTTCATAATAACTGTATAATAGATAATAGAAAAATACACAAAGTCAGATATGTCAACATCTGCGCAAGTAAAAAAATGATCAACAAAGTCTTCATACATTTAAGATACACTTAAGGTGCAAAAGCTTTGCAGCTTTTACACCTTAAATGTTTTAACTAATAAAATGATGATCCATTAAAGCAGGCTTTAATGGATCATCATGAAAGTATTAAAGTCAAAGGCAGCACTGAAGATACAATTTGATTTTCATTTGTTATTGTAAATCAGTTTTTCAGCTGCGCTTCAAATGCTAATTTACCAATTACCACTACATAATGGCATTATAACAGCAAAAACATTAGTAAAGACTATAACACATACCCCTCTGGGGCATTTTATTGCACCCAGAGTAACTTTTTCCACCCCTGACAAAAATCTATACTTACTTTTAAGCAAAATCTTCAAAGGGGAATTTGGAACCTGATAGTAATTGTATTCCCTTGAGTTTGGTACTCCCATTGCTCTTCTGTCGCTGAGGTTTGATATGCGCCAAACTGCTGTACATCAAAAGTCCTTAACGATGAGCTACAGTGAACGATCCCGAGGAAGAGGACAGTCTCCGCTCGGTCGGACCAGCTTGAAGAAACAAATGCCTGATCTAGTTCACCAAGCTGCGCAGACTAAGAATCACAGCTCTGCTAATCATTGTTACATTTCCCCAGTTGCTGAAAAATGACTGATCCCCCACCACTTTTATCCCCTTCTACTAACAAACACACCACAACCCCAAAATAACTTTGAATCAATTCATGGAAACAGGTAGAATATAGGAGGAGAGCAAGTTGAGTGTCCTTGGCAGAAGGTGGCGTCTTTACACAAGAGCCCTAATCCTATCAGCTCTATTTAGAGCTGGGATAAAAATACTCAGAGGCAAAGTGCTAAACCTATTAGCACACAATAAAGCGTTGTCAGACAATTACAGTCTGATTCAAAGGAAAGCCAATGTCTACTTCGAGGAAATGTCCTGAACAGGCGATTCTTTTTCTTTTCTAAGGCTGTGATAATTATAGAAATACGATGCTACTTTCTCACAACTGACAATGAGGCAGTTCATTGAATTTCACCAAACTGTGAGGTCTGAGCTTATGATGGTGATCGAAATGTCTAAGAGGTCATGCCTGTCTTGCAGGTAATGTATTTCCTTCTGCATATGAATATGTTTTGCACATAAAGCACATCATGTACCAAGTAGGTCAATCTCTGATTGAAAAACTCTCTGTGGAGGCTCCTGCTGCTGCTCAATGCATAATGAATGGCAGTCTAGCACAGCACACAGCACACAGGCTCTGTGAATGGATTGAACAGTGTTTATATAATCTGTCCTATCAGGCCAGGTCCTTAAACCCGGATTAGACACATGAATAAGCCACGACACATTTAACGCCTGAAACTATAAGTATTCAGAATAACAAAGGTGTAGCTAGGATGCAACACCTGAAACCCTGAGGTTTTATCCTACAGCCCATCTGGCAGGTGCTACATGAATGTATATGTAGTGTAAATAAAAATGCAGAAAGTGTCTCGTTGTATTGGTTGAATTCAATGACAGTAAGTCCCATTATTATGTAGTGTTTAACTGATGTGCTTAAATACATCACTATACAGTAATCTCCCTACCGCGATGGTAATATTGGAAAATAATAATTTAATACAAAAGTGCTGGTCAAGGAGGAATATTAGAAGGGTCACTCAAGATCAAGAGTTACATCACCACAAACTGCAAGTCAGCAAAGATGTAGAGAAAGCCATTGCTGGTTTGTGCTTTGCGGACATGATGTCCTAAGTATGAAGCTGCACTTATTTCAACATCTGCGAAGCCAATGTCCAGCTTCTTACCTCCGCGTTTTTTGCTCCTTGTCGAGTTTCGGGCACTCCCTTGTCCATCCATCCTACTCCTCCCCACACAGCCTCCCATCACTGTCCCTACATTTCAGATCAAGGAGAAATCTGTCATATTTTACATATTTTCGAATATAAACGCTTTGAAATGAACGTGCAATAATGTCACATAAATAAACTGTTGGTAATGATGTGAAATTGAGTGCCTTATATGAAAAGCACCATCAGGGAATGACAGCTCAGCACGCCTTGTTCTTATGAGGTCAGACGAGCTGATGTGTTTACGTCACGTGTACCGCCAGCTGACGGGGACACGCGCCTGAAGCTAATGCCAGCTGATTATTTCCCACGCACGCGTCCAGAGTTGTGTTTTTGCACTCTTACTTTTTTTTTTAATGAATCCAAATCAATGCATATATTTATTTTACATACCGGAAATCCAGTCTGCTAGATTATGCATTCGTCTGCAGTTTGCCTGCCACATCCGAACTTCAGGTGAAGTTCGAGCCTCACGCGACGATCAGCAGAAGAGGTAATCAGCCAAGTAGGAGGACAGGCACAGACCCAGTGTGTCTGTGCAGAGGCGATGTGTCCAGGTGGCCTCTGCAGAGCCTTTAGTAAATCTCAGCCGCTTCTCCAAAAATATGCGATCAGTATCCACATTTCCTCCAAATCATAGTGTACACAGCCTACCAACACAATCCGTCCACACTGATCCAGAATTAAAGACTTGCAGTCTGTACGCATGCGTAACTTAGAGCGGTCGCGTCAGAACAAGACAGGAAACTGCTAAACCGCTCCTTCGGGATAATAGGGTGGCTGAAACGTAATTTAGCCGTCTTTTAACCACCATTTAGAGTTTGAAACGACAGGAAAATGTCTCTCAAATAAGTCCTGTCAAAGACAAAACCTTTAAAATTTATTTATTGGGTTATTGCACAATATATTGTTACATTTTTCAACTGGGGTTTTATTCTGAAATGAATGGCGGAAGTTTTATTTATGATTCTAAGGTTAATTGATGCTATACTGTGGTCTCCATAAAACGTGACATTTCTACTACAAACAACTGCAGTTTTAGTTAATTTAAGAAAAACACCACCGGCACAACTGTTACTCATCTATCTACAGTTTCAGCTACATGAAAGTGCACAATCTGTCACATACAAATATGCTATTTCAACAAAGTTTCTGAAGAAAAACTAATCAAGCTTCTGAAATTTACAGCCTGTTCATTCTATTTTGGTGGGTGGGTGCTCCCCTCCACAACACTGAATCTGAGTAACATGTTGCCTAACAAAGTGTGAAACACTAAATCAGTGTGGGACAGCTCATCTGACTAAGGTGTCCACAAACTGTGAATATGTTAAATCCTGACTAATCCTGTATTTGTGTTGTGAGTAATTAGTAGTTATGAATAACTATGGATGAATGCATACAATGTGTAAATGTGTGTAACATTCTTGCGTTTTCTAACTTTTATAATCGGGGACTGTTGTTGTGATTTGACGCTGTGTAAATAAAATTGAATTGAATTTTAAAATGAACCACTCACAGACAGTTGTGTGTAGACCTCTCGCAAGCATCTTATTATTATAATTATTATTATTATTATTTGCCTATATTTAGGTGACAGCACACAGACTGTCCACATTGAAATATCTAAATTTGCTATACGAGGACATCAGTGACAGTTTCAGGGCGTGAACGTCATTCTACAACCAACTGACTCCCATCAACCCACACCTGTAGGACACACCTGCACAAATATAAAGGCATCTCTGTTACAAGTTATTGTGTTGTGAGCTAACATTTGCAGACAATATCCCCAACCTGTTTTTCTTAGCAGTGCGCCCAAGTGAATCACAGAGGTCACAAAAGCTTTAAAAATGTCAGCCTGCTCCAGAGTTTCCTATAGTTTGTAGTCTCCTGTCTATATCAGTGGTTTATTTCATGGTGAGCAGTGTTTACAAGCTATAGCTTTTAAAAGTTAATCAGGAGAAATGAAAAAAATAGCTTTTACTCCATTTTTGCACCTCACCAGCTGGTGACACCATAGGTGGCTGTCTAGTGTTCCTATGCCCAAAAAGTCACGCTTATGCTGTATCCTTGTCTAGGCACATGGTAATCCATGCCAAGTTTAGTCCTGGCACAAAAAGCACGGCTTATCCGTTAGTTCATTTAGAGTGTACACAAGAAAGCGTAAAAAAAGAAACACATAATATAAATAACCTGACGTGTCTGATGAGGTGAGATGCATCAGTGTTTTGTTTTGGACAAGGTTCAGTCTCCCACAGTGGCATGACATATAATTCCTGAATACTGAGTACAAAGAATTGAGCATCCAGTTCTCTGAGGGCTAAAAGATTATGTAAATCACTCATCTCGCGATCTCCCTCACCTTGTTTTGACCTTCACAAAAACACATTTGGTTGCATATGCAGCTGTCAAAACTGCCCACAACTAATTTGCAATACATACATGCAATGCTAAGCTCGGCCCACAGCCATCATAAATCTAGCTCAGTAATTTCTCTCAGCAGTTCACATTATCACTTGTTACAGAAATAAATAAATAATAATTAAAAAAAAAAGATTTTTCTTTCTCTTTACTATCAATTATTCAGATCTTTTAAACAATGAAGAGTCCAAAGCCCATATTTCACGTGTTAAACGCTGACATCTGCTGGGAGACTGTGTATTGACAGGTGTGTTTGTGTGTGTTTCAGTGAGTGGGCGGGTGTGATCTGCAGTAGCAGGGTGAACGAGGGTTACAATCAGGATGAAATCTGCTTAATCTCTGCTCTCTTTATCTGCCAGCCTTTATTTTACACCCCCCACCCCATAACTGACAACACCAGCACTGTTTTCATTTTACCAAGCAAATGCATGAATCACAAAATGTTTAATATTTACTTATTTCTAACTGTAATGTTTTCCATAAACAGTTTCATTATCACTATCTTGTTTATTTAGACTTTTGGATTTGCTCAAATCTTGACGGATCTTAACTGCAGCGTGTGCTTATTTGTGATGTAATAGGTTTCATATGAATCTGCAGCTCAAATCTGGCCAGCATTTCCAAATAATCCACCCCTTCACGCTGCATCCCTCTGCGTAACACTGTGACATAACCCCAGAGCTGCAGTTAGGAAGTGACCCTAAAGCAAAACATACAAAAGGCAAAAAAAAAAAAAAAAACCCACAAAAAAATCTCTGAATATATTGCTGACATGTATGTTGATATATATCCACAGCTAAGTATTTACTGTATAGTGTTATAAAACAGTGACAGTACCCCTTAAAAACACAATATTAACAATGTAGAATTTATTTAATGTTGTAAAGATTAACTTAATACGTACAAAATTCCGATAAATAACATCATAATGGTACTGCAATTCCCCGTGAGTGTTCAAATCGAATGATAATATCACACTAGGGTGTGCAAACGAGACAGGCGGAGGTGCCGAGATTAACCCGATGTGTCCATGACCTTAGTGTTTTTCTTCTGCTACTTCTTCTTTTTTTTCCTTTAAATAAAAAACAGCTCAGGTCGAAGCTGAGATGGTTTGCTTAAAAAAAAATTATTTAACAGTTCAGTCAGTATATTTGGCTTATAAAACTATCAAACTCATGCTCAGAGTCAAGTAAAACCAGTTCGTAAGACTAAGTAAAACCCAGTACAGAACAAACTGTGACACATTGCCTTGTTGAGCAATATAGACTGCAGAAGCAAGAGCAATGCAACAGCAAGTTTTTTGAGGTATCGGAGATTGACGTAAATCCTTTCACTTAGGTGTAGCCACCAAGCAGGAATCCTTTAAGCAAACCCGATCAAGTAGGTTGACAGAGAAAAGACTGGTAAATTAGACAAGAATGGATGCCTTAGCAGAGTCTGTCATACAGGTATCAAATCCTTTTTAACTGGGAAGACAGCCCACGTCAAGCCATCACCATGTGGGGGGTGAGCAGAGGGAAGGAGAACACGCGTCACCCAGTGACTAAAACCAAAAGACAAAAACAAAAGCAGAAATTACAAGAAGCACAAGGTAACATTAGTCACATAAGGTGCAGAAAACAAAACAGATTTCTGTTTCTTAGAAAACAGAAATCTGAGAGGGAGAGAGACAAACCTTCTCTTCTCCACACCTAAGAAGATTTTCCAGTTATTCAACCTGCTGTAGTTAAAGGGGTTTCTGTAAACCTGACAGAAAAACAAAAGAACAGGAACATGTTACAAATGACCAACGTCACTTTAACCAAAGGAAAAAATATATATTTTGAGGATTTGAAGTCTCCTATGTCTTATCACAACATAACCTTCACATTTTATTTATGTTCATGGCTACCTTTCCCCATTTGGCCATCCGCTTTGTTTCTTTGCTGTTGATATGTCTTTCAATACTCGTCTCTCCTCTGGAGATGAGAACTGCATGCCAGAAGGTCAAAGCTCCCAGTGCCACTCCCACTGTGCTGTTACAACAAAGCACAATTCACTTTATCCTCTGCATGGATGACAAAGACAACAATCCTGTTCTGATTCAACTCTACCTTTATACCCTACTGCTTTGAACAAGAAGTAAGAAGCAAAACGAGTGTTAGATTACATACCCAGAATCCTTCGACCGATAACACTTTCTTTTTTTTCCTCCTGCTATCTTCCTAAAGCAATGGTTAGATTTTTTTTATATTTCTTTGTAATTATCTTTAAATAATATCCATTAGCTCAATGCTCAAAAGGAAGAGTTTGTGACCCCCTTGGAATTACCAGGATTTTTGAATGGATTATTAAAATTATGTATTCAAATATGTCACAATTACAAATATAATCTATTACTTGACTGAAAAACTCTCATTTTAATTCCTTCGTTGAGGAAGAAGCCATAGTCCAGGCTGAATAACCCTTTTAAGTTAGCAGTTCAATCAGACTTTAGCAAAAACTTTGGACCAGTAAATATTTCTGCATGTCTTAACTGGATAGCCAGGCCACCATCCCAACTGGTTAAGGTCTTTAACTGTCACTCTGGGGGGTTTTTCCCCCTCAACTGTTCTGTTGTTTATTTTTTTATTTACATGTGTACTTGCTTGTTGTAACTATCCAACCTCTCCTAAGCGTCAGGCTTCTGTCCTGACATTCTCCCGAAAAGGTTTCTTGCCACAGTTTTGGATTCTCAGTCTGGGTCCTAACAAAGCAGCTCCAAATCATGATGCTAGCTCCACCATGCTTAGTGCATTTTTGTCTACCCATAAAATGCAGATCGGTGTCTTAGACGTGTTGTGGAACATCCAAGTGCATTGCAATTTAGCAAATTGGCTGTTACCATTTATTTGTACACACTTTCTTATTGTGAATAGATGAATACCCAAGTATTTAGATTTTTTTTCTACTCCACTAGAATTTTACTTCTAATGAACTGGAAAGTTCCAATCCTGACTGTGAACAACACGACATGACTACATTTAATCAGAAATCAGAAATCCTTGTAAGTCAGTTATTAAAGTTTTTCTTGCATGTATGTGTGAAAAAGCAACATAAAATGCACTTTTTACCTGGTGAGGACCCACATGTAGATGATGCTCTTATGAATCATCTTATCCTTAAATGTGTATGGAGGAGCAGGGGTCTGATAGTGGGTCTTTCCAAAACAAAAAACAAACAAAAAAAGATAAGTAACTGAAAAAAATAAAAAAAAATAAAATAAACTTAATAATGCTGTGTGTTGGCTTTTGAAGCGCTACCTGGCCAGAAGGAAGAAGCCCTATAAGCAGTCCCATCCCTGTTACCGGTATTCCAGGCTTTTCCAATTCCAAATGTTTGAAGTGCTAATGGAACAGCCCACAAACCCAAGCATTAAAGACAGAAAAAAAGCAGAGTCAATAAAGAAATGCTAAGGCCCCAAAGAGAAAGACACCAGACATGGAGGCTTTAAAACAAATCTAACTACAACAAAGCACCAGCAGACCTACAGGCAGCAACAGCCCGACTATCTCACCTCGAGTGCATTGTATGCATCTAGGAACAGGTTTCTCCCACTGATGCTACAGTAGACACAGCCCAAGGTCATGAAGAGACAGAAGGAGAAGAAGTAACGGTGATTAAAATGGCCCACACAGTTATTCAACCAGGCTGAGGTGCTGACATTAAGGAAAATTATGTCCATCTCTCTCTATAAACATATACATTTTCTGACGTGCTTCTGAAATAATAAGCTGGAATAAATTCAGCACAAAGGATACGACAATGATGGTCCATTTTCAAAATGCATCTGCAAAAGCAAGAGAAAAACATTAGTTTGATAATTGGTATTTTAGTTGTGTGATTTTTTTTTTTAAGGGAATGTATTCTAATCATATCTCAAACTGCAAAATAATAGTCTGGGAAGACTTAAAGCATGATAAGATTTTATGGAATGAAGATAGCAATACTAGAAAAACTAACCTAGAGATACAAGAAGTCAACTGTCAATGAAAACATCTTAATTTTGAATGTTGCGATTTGATGTAGTCACATTAAAGGTCTTGCAACCACCAACATACTTTAGCTTTGACATTCAAACACCTGATACTTATAAACATATAATAAAACAGATAAAAACTCACCTGTTACAGATCCCACAGTGGTGTGTTCTTGCTGGTTTAGGAATAATGCACTTTTTGCAGACTGATACAACTGGACCGTCATGTTTTTCCTACGACAAAATAAAAGTTTGTTTTGTTTTGTTTTTTTAAATACAAAATTGCCAGTTTAAAGTACAAAAAAAAAAACTGTAGCTGATATCTTACTGTAGGGGGATACCCAGGAGAGGTGTTGGCGGCTTTGTAGTAATGGAAAGCAATCATGATGAGGTTCCAATGTCCATAACAAACATGCCAAGCGATCCACGGAGGAGAGTAAGTGTTGAGGATCAGAGGCAGCAAGACCACATAGGCTATCCCCACGATGGAGCTGGTCAGTATCACCACCAGGTAAACAAACACCTTAAAGAAAAAAGAATGATCAGACAATGTGAGCAGTTATGCAGGAAATCACATTAGATCTACATTTAAAGCTACATCCAAGAACACACATTTTTTTCATTACTGTCAAAACCCTTGGTGCAGGCTACTATCAAAGAGATTGTATGTGCCTACCCCCTCTTGTATTTAGGTCAGGAGTGTCTACACCCCAGATCTGAAACATTTTAATGAGTGAGGATCTGTTGCTATCCAATAAGAAAGAGAATTGCCCCCGCGAAATGTTTGTTGTGCAGACTTGATATGACACTACCAATAATGATTATCTGAAGTTAGGGGGACTGTGATCATAGGAGCTTTGGTAGTTAACAAAATCAGACGTTCACAAAAAAAAAAGTCATTGTTTGTTGTTATTATACCACAAACAACAACTATGACTTGTGTATGGAAGATCATATTTTGACCAATTCCAAGAAGGTTAATGTCCTTATTTTCCATCACTGCAGTGGTCTCCAGAAAATAAACAAAAAAACAACAACAACAACAACAACTTTCTCATAACCATTTAAAAGCACACTCACCAGACCAAACCACCGGGTGACGTAATCCACAGTCAGGAAAACTGGTTCAAAGACTGAGTCAAAAACCACATCTGAGTCTGTGAGCGAGTTAAAGTAGAGTGATTTTGCCAGCAGTCTCATATAAGCCCATATTTCCCTAATCCACAAAGGAAGCCTGTTCTGTCCCCGCCTGCTACACAACCGCAGCCGCACACAGCGCAGCAGGTGAAACGCAGAGCTCGAACACCACCGCATTCTGCATTTGTAAAATCCAAGCACCTGCAGGAAGAAAGAAAACATTACGATTAATGAAAGTCAATCGTAAACTCTCACTTCCACACCTCTCCCAACCTGACGTGCAAGACTTAAAAAATGTGAGGAATGTGTATGCTGCTATGTCTAACGCAAATTTCATATGTACAACAGGAATAATAAAAAAAGGAATTCAACACAATTTGGCAACACAAAAGGAAAATGATAAGTTTGTTGATAACAAACAACCCAAGCCCCAAGGATACTCCATTTACTCTTGCCTATAAGAAAAATAAATACATAGTTAACGGCAGCTGAAAAAGAGAGAACACGTCTGCCCTAATCAGCTCGGTTGAGCAATGTCTAACTTACCAATAGGTGAATTTCAGAGCCAGACAACTTGGACTTCTTTTTCCCAGTGAATTTGTTTTGACCGCTAGTGATATCAGTTTCAGAGAGCTGACACCTAAACTACTTCATTAGGTACGACTAAAGGCGTGAGTGAAAGAGCCAGAGCATTTGCAGGTACATACAACAGAAATGCACAGGTAACCAGAAGAACATGTGTTTCCAACATGTACCAGTCTTGCTGTGCTGCATTCCAGACAGGGTGGAGTCTGGGTGGAGGCTTTTGGCAGCTAGATAAGGTGAGAGGGGGACAATGATTTTTGTTGTGGAGTAGGCTGGTCACCTGCAGTTAATGACAAGCAAGCCAAAAACCACTGCATGGCGATCAGCCATAGCTGTCACCTCCCTGAATAAAGTAACACTCAATGTGTCCATAAGACATGTTGTTGTGAATACTCTCCGTGAGTCATAGCGCTCCCAAATCCCTTATTTTTTGGATGTCACATACTGCTCTCCTTTTCAAATATTCGTCTCGCGCCGTGCATCATATTTTACTGATATTTTACAACATTTCTTTTTTACTCACTGTTTTATGAAGACGAGACCCCCACCGAGACCACCCCTCCCGTCAACATTTTCAAAAGGAAGACAAAAAACGGGATTATAGCCACATATTAGCGAGGAGGAGCAGGATCACGGACCTGTGACAGTTAAGAGCGGAATCCTCCAATTAATGCGCATGCGCTGGAACACCACCGAACGGCATCGTGGTAGTCTGAGTCAGGAAGTGATTTCAACAGTTATTTTACTTCAGGACTTGACATTTATGTTTCTGAATTTTCTGTATTTTATGTTATAACACGTACACATACGTATAACGATTCGGCTACATGCATAACTGAAATATAACATATAGCATAACTGGTGGGGGGGGGGTCTCAGACTTTTGGGACATGTAGTTTTTTATCCATAGCAGCCTTGCTAGCTACGCATGCCATGTGAGCCAGCCTTTGGTAGAACCTGTTTGAAACTGTGATACAAATCTTCTATCCTCAAACTTAGTGAACGGTGGTGTCAGTCAGCATGTCGTTTTGTTTTAACTTCGACCTTCCAGCACAAACAACAGACCCCGGAGACGTGGATGGAAATGAATTGCAGCACGGAAATAAAGATCATGCTGTCGTATCTGTGAGTAACATTAGCTTACCTATGATGTGCCATAGCTTAAGTTACTCAGAGTGCTCTAAGTACCGCCGCGTAACTAGTAATAGCAGAAGTAACGTTCAAGCTAGCAATTGCGGTGCTGTAAAGCAAGTTTAGACTTGGACCCTCTGCGAGAGTGTGGGAAGAACATTTATGGCTGCAGGCAGAAAACTTACAAAGCCCCAGAAATGTATCTGTCTGTCATAAATGCCTTTATGTAAGTTAGTTGCCTTTATGTTAGTAACAACAGCACTGCTTTCCTATTCTTTTCCTATAACTTCCCATTATTTGTGATCCTTTGATAAAAAATATCAAAGGATCACAAATAAGCCCGGGGCAACATCGAAAGAGAGCAAAAATAATAAGGTTCTTGAACATTATAGTTTATTTTTTAACTGTGGAAAATCATCTGTAATAAAGCAATTGACTACAAGTACAGCAGACAAAATCTGCCTAGGTTTGCCTACATTTCAATATATTCTGTGATCTGTACATTAGAATAGATTACATCTAAACACGTGAATAAATATTTAAAAGCTGATATGAAAAAATATTGATTAAAAATACATCTAGTTTACTGCTATAAATGATAAATAATTCCGAAAGTCTTTAAGTAGAAAAATGAGAAGAGATTTGTGTAACATTTACCAATTGTAATGTAGAATAAATAATTTAGATTTTTTTTTTTAAAGACAAGCAAATAGAAGCTTTTTTTTCCGCCTGCATGGCAGCCCTGTCAAAATTATATTTAGATAAGACTTAACATTAAATCAAAGTGTAGAATAGTCCAAAAACAATTGTGAAGATAAACGTATAGAGGGGCGTCGGTGTAACGGTTAGCGCATTCCCTTAACAAACCAAAGGTTGGTGGTTTGATTCCAGCGAAATGCACAAATCCTCTTTGGGGTTACAAGTAAAAACATCCCACAGAAAAAGAAGCCAAATCAAACATACAGCCCTAAACTCTGCGGCGACCCCTTGTGACGAGGGAGCAGCCAAAGTTAGCTTTAATTTGTAAAGATAAACCTGTCTTATGTGAAAGGGGACAAAGGTAAAAATCCATTCTCACTAAAGCACACGCTGTTCAATTAAACGATGCTGTAAATTCTGACCGCATGAGCTTTAAAAAAGCAATAAAAATTCTTTAATTTTGTGTGCATCCACTAGAGAGCGTAGGCTGTTAACATCTGCTTGTTAACATTACAGGATAAGGCATGTTAAAGCGGAAACAATCCAAATTGTTAAAGTACTGTGTGCTTTGTTATTGTTATATATGACACAAAACTTCTGAGGTATGCAACAGACTTTACTGGCATTTAAATCTAAACTGTTCAGCTCCACTGAGTTAGACGACATGAGCATTTACACCTACCAGTCCAGAGAAGCAAACGTCATTTCAGTCACGGTGACTCACATGGCTGATGCATAACATTCTCATGTTTGAGTGATTTATCAGTCAACTGACCTTTTACATCATTATTACAAGAAAACAAATCACAGTGGTAAAAGCATACTATACCTGGTATGTACACACAGAATTGAGTAAATCTTTGTTACAACATTTGAATAGACTAATTAATTTTAAACCAAACAACAGACTTTTATGTTTTAATAACTGACATTGTTGCATTTTATAGGTCCCAAAGAAGATTTCGCAACATTTATGTGCAGATGTTAGCCATTCTTACAGTAACATCAAGCCACCCCCCATTTTCAGTGTAACTGTCAAAGCGGTTTTAACATCACCACTAGTTATGACATTTTTCCATCTTTTTTCCTGCATGCCCCACTTCATCCATCCATATTTTGCTTGAAGCAGGGTTGTGGAGCAGCTGGAGCCTATCCCAGCTTTCACAGGGCAGGAGGAAGGGTGCGTTGTGGAGAGGCTACCATTCTCTTACAGGGCTAACATAGAAAGAAAAATAACTATGCGTGCTTGTTTTTACACCTACAGCAAAATTTATAATCGCCAATTAACCTAACATAAAACTCCACACAAAGCCATGTGTGTGGAGTTTCAAACCCAGGACTTTCTTCCTGTGCGACAACAGGAAGACAGTTAACCACCACACCACTGTGCCGCCTGTGCTCCACTTCAGAAAATGAAAAAACGTTAGAACGCTACATACCAAAATATTTGTTACTCATTAACACTAACTTTAATAAATAAAACTGCGTTATTGTGAAACGGAAAACTCTTGTTCATGTCACAACATGTGACCATCACCCACATACATTGCTGAGGCGTGTGGTTTTATTATCAACTGTGCATACTGCTTTCTGTTTGCAGGTAGAGGACGGCCCCAAACCAGCACAACCAGTAAAAGAGGCCAGCGAGCACTTTCCGCCATCCGATCCACAGTTCCTCCTTATGGATGCCATCTTTGAAACGGTTACAGTTGGAACTCTTCCTCCTCTGCACTTCCTCAATGAGACTGTTTTTGAGAAGACTGCGTCAGAGAGAGAGGACAGAGAAAAAATTCTTTCACGCACAGCGGAGCAGAAGTCTGACCTCATCTCTGGTGTGTACGAGGGAGGGCTGAAGGTGTGGGAGTGCACGTATGACCTTCTGGAGTTGATTGAGAAAGATGGAGAGACCTTTGGGGGGAAGGCGGTTTTGGATTTGGGCTGTGGCGCAGGGCTGCTGGGAATACTGGCTCTGAAGAGGGGAGCCAGTCAGGTCCACTTCCAAGATTATAACAGTACAGTCATTGAACAGCTCACAGTGCCAAATGTAATGCTAAACTGCCAAGAGGATGATGAAGTAGACAGTGAAGATGACAAAGAAGGGAGTGGTAAGGGAAAAATGAAGGAGGAAGATGGTTCTAAAAAGAAGGCGAAAGGGCAGAAGGAGATCACAGAAAACAACCCACCTCCTAAGAAGCGAGCCATAGACTTAGCCCAGCACTCATTACTAACCAGGTGTCATTTTTACTCTGGTGACTGGAGCACATTTCTCGCTTTGGTTCTAAAGGCAGATCCACCACCCAAATATGATCTTATATTCACATCAGAGACTATCTACAACACTGCGTACTACCCTGCTCTACACGAGACCCTGCGCAAACTGTTGGCACCAGATGGTCTGGTCTACCTCGCCACCAAATCTCACTACTTTGGTGTAGGTGGTGGACTACATCTCTTTGAAACATTTGTGGAGCAGAGGGATGTTTTCTCTGTGGATCATCTGTGGGATGGAGAAGAAGGACTTCAGAGACATGTAGTAGTACTGCGTTTTAAAAAGTCAAAGGATGCTTGAGTAAGGAATGTCAGGAACTTTTTATCTGTAATTGATTTATTGATGAAAAACTGAATGAAAATAAAAAATAGAGCAAGGCTATTGCTTGATTATTGTGTGCAGTCCTGAATCAGCCAGCTGTGTCGTTATGACTCCTGTCTTTATTTTGGTATGTTAAAACTGCCGTGGTTAAACAAGGAAAAGCTGCAATGAAAACACACTATTGGCTCATATTTGCTCTTTTGTTACCTACACCTTCTTTCACTTCCTATATCGAAATTTGAATATGTCTGCCAGTAACTGAAGTGCAGTTGAAAGGGGCTGTTACAGGTCTTTAGATGCATGGAGAGGAAAGAAAGGAAATGGGCTCAGTGACCTTTGCGAGTGATTTCCCCAGTGTTCAAACACCAGCATGAAAGCCAGGCTTGTTTCTGAAGTCCAGCACAAAATGTCAATTGCAACTTATCCCACTAGCTCAAGGATGTAGTTTGAAAGTGGATTCTGGAGTCACTGAACATCAATGGTGGGACTCTGTGGGGTCTCTGTAGCTCTTATTCTACTGGTTTCCTTTCAGTGAAGTTCACCACATAATCTGGCAACAGTGCAAAATTAAAAAAAAAAAACATTTTTGAAAATGTCTACACATATGCCTATGCAGGAAGTATGGGCAAATATCCATCCAAAATCAAGAAAGGGAATTTTGCTGTAATTTTTCCATCTCCATGTGGAATCCCCTTTTTGTCCAGCTCAAGGAAATCCGTCTACTTTTTTTCGAATAGGGCTTTTTTTTCTGGGGAAGTATGCCTCAAGTCCAGACCAGTTTCTCGCATTTGAGGTGACTACATAAGAGGATGAGGAAGTCAGAGGGTTTTCACAGGGTCACTCGGCAATGAAACTGAATAACACTGCCTGATGTGTTGTTCTGAAATTGTCGTTTTAGCCCGCCAACCCGGTCTCATCCGTGTGACTAAATACAACCTGTACGTGTGTCGTGTTTGACTATGATCGGAAAGCAAACAAAGGTTCTTTTACAATACAGCCCTATCAGACCCCACCTGAATAGATGACTCCAGCTACACAAACATTCTCAAGAATCTATCTCATCCTAAACATACCCGTGACGTCAGCACTGTAGAGACCCGCTGATAAAATAATATTTAGCAAAGATTAAGAAAAAAGAAAAACTTTTAGGAAACATAATGTCACCAGCTCTAACATGACTGTGCATTTCAACACCCACAGTGTGTGGACAGAATTTCCAGCAGCTTATTATGTAAATATACTGTAGTGTTAAACGCTATTTCACTCAGAGAAACATAAAATACACCAAACATGGTTTCTGTTTGCATATGCCTGGCCGGCAAACTTCCACTGTGTCCGCTTCGTCATCGTCTCTCATCTTGACAGCTGTTCAGGGCCTGTGGGGGAATTCCTGGCCCCTCCAGTAGACACAGCCTTTCCCCTGCTTACTTTATGGGAACAAGGGGGCAGGGCAAGTCAGATGGTTTTCCTCAGAAACTATTATGTGTTGATTCACTGTGAGGGGGCGTGTTTTACACTCCCACTGCTTCCTTCTTACTGGGAAGTGACTGTCGGGCTTACCGTACAGAGGGAGTGTATGAAAAACAGAGAGGAGGGAGGATGATGGGTGATGTGAAAGGTGGCAAGATATTTAAGTGCTTCTTTCTGTGAATGTCAGACAGTGTGCTGCATCCATCCCTGGGACCTGGAGGACATTGGGGAGCGAGCAGAATGTGCAGGTGATTTGAGGAGGAATGTATATTTGCCGAGTTTGAAGAAGCCTGCTGCTTTCTTTCTGGTGAGATGGGACTGCGAAAGTGTGTTGTTTTTAAAGCTTGACTATGAAATAATCCTGGGAGGCCTTTATGAGGAGGTTTGTTTATGACATAACCAGGATCAGGAAAGGAAATCAATGAAACCGAGGTAAGTATATTAAAAGAAAACTCTCAGTATGGTCAAATCGAGTGTGTGGTTTTCAAAAAGCTTATACAAAATGACATGTGTTTTTTGGGTGTGTGGGGGGGTTGAACATTTTTTAATTAGGTCAAAGAAATGCTAACTTCTTCATTCTTTGAGCAAAAAGCAAATGAAGGCTTTTAAACCTGCCACACTGTGAAATTTTTTTGATGTAGACTTTGAAGAAACAGTTAATGATCTCATAGGGGATTGGCCTTGTCTAGTGATAGGCCGTAGAACCGGTTGTTTCCCAGTCCAACTGCCGGAAAGATATGAGTTTCCTGAACATACTCAGGTGTGGCCTTCCTTCGAAAGTTCATCGTGCTGTACTGTACCTTAAAAGAATGCACCATCATAATGGATAAACTTGGATTGAGATAACACAGACAAATTATCTTCACTGTATCTTCACTGTCAACATTGACTCCAGGCCTTGAATGAGGTGTGGGGTGGTGGTGGTGGGGGGTTTCTTTCTTTTTCTCTTGTTAAATAAAAGAGGCGAGTCTATCACAGTCAGTTAATAGCATACTTACTTTGCAGGGTTCAAAGATACGTCGACTAACTGTATGTCACTAATCACACAGTCCTAAAGCGCTTTTACTGGGAGTGTACTGCTGTAACTGATGAGTCATTTCATGCCTTGACCAGAGCACTATCACCACGATCTGATTCAGTGCTTCCAGTGGACAGACTTGCATTTCAGTAGTTTTGAAGCATTTCCAGGAACACAGATGAAAAAAAAAAAACAGTTGGATTGCTCAAATGATCCTGAAACTCTCCATATGTTCTCTAACCACAGAATCATTTCCGTTCTTCGGAGCTTGTTTCCCACTTTACTTTCATTTTCAACGTATAAAAAAAACACCTCTTAACCCCTGCAAATTAACAGCATTTTTTTTTCAACGACTTCATACACCACTTTGTTAAGCAAATGTTAAATGTGACTAATCCCTTCAGTTGCCACAGTAATGACCTCTTGCTCAATCTTACTCTGGAAGAAGTACAGCTGACGTTATCATTTCATCATTACCCAGCCTTTCTTCAGAAATTGGGATCGGTAACCTAACCCCAACATGCTTCTCAACATGTGTCACTTAACTGCAGCCGACATTTATTGTGAAGTTTTTAGAGTTTACTAATTTTATTATTCTTATAGTTGGCTTTTTTTTTCATTATTTAATGGGAGAATTAATGACATGTTAAAAGAGTTAGTATTGAAGTATGAGCTGTGTAAATCGATAAAGCCATTCAAGGTTCCAGAAGTGCCCGAAGAACAGATTTTAATGTGTGCTCTACTATGAGAACTGAATTCCATAGATGGTGACATCTTCAGGTGTCATCTATGGGCTCAGTTCTTCTGGCATGGTACTAGTTTGTCAGCCGTACGGCGCAGCACCAGAATGCCGAAGTTACCACCGTGTGAAATCAATAAAATAATGCTTGGTGTTAAGTTTGTATGGAGATTCCTGTGAATGAGGAGTTAATTTTTAATTGCACATATTATTGCTGTGAATAAAGCATACATTTTGAAATGACTAATGTGTTTCTCAGTATTATTATAAAGTGTCATTATGTATTGTTAATAAACCCAATCAAAAGTCAACCGTATTTGTGGGGATTTTATTAATTAATAGCAATTTTTTAAAAGGAAAAATTATGGTAAAAAGTATGTCAGAAAGTTCAAGAGCTGCTCTGCTACGTATTTAATGCTGATATAATTTTACCAGCTCTTGCAGCATTTCGGCATTATTAAGCTATAGCCATTCTAAAGTTAAAAATGTTAAACACACACACATATGTGTGTGTGTGTGTGTGTGTGTGTGTGTGTGTGTGTGTGTGTGTGTGTGTGTGTGTGTGTGT